GGGGGCGACAAGGTGACCTGGGGAGAAGCGGACAACATGAGGGGCGACATTGGAGTGGGCATGTTGAGGGATTGCACCAACCGTGGAGGATGGGAGGTTGGCCCATTGTGGATGTGGGAGATTTGATCAGCGATTGGACTCAGCACTACCAACACATCGTGCCTGGCCCGACAGTGGTGTAATAAAGCATTCTGCCCTCCGGTAAGACCACCGATCGTGTTGTGCAACCTAGTTTTTTCAACTCAATTTTCCATTTTTGTTCACCTCCGCCATCTTCATCTGGGGGTCAAGCCAAAGCTCACGAAAAACGGATATGGCTTTCCTCTTGCTCTGCCCATCCTCGGTCGCCGCCATTGTGACGCCCAACCTCACGCCCGATGCGACTTCCTGATCGGAGTGTGAGTAGGCTTGGAAGTGGGAAAAGGGGTGTGCCAAGGATTTTAGGAAAGTGGGGGTGGAGTCCCAGGTCGGAACTGGGATCTCCTGTGGCACGCTCGGGGATACGAATGCAGTAGGGTAGGCGTAGACTGGAGTCCTGTTTTGTGCTTCAGGAAACAAAGCTACCTTCTTTGTTGGTTCCATCGTCCAGGTGGGGGCCGTATCTGGTGCACCGTCGGGACGCTATGGCTATCCCGCTGGCTCGTCACCTACCGACATCAAACGTCGTAAGTCCTAAAATCTGACGTGGTCGGCCTCAATCAAAGGTTGTGCGCCCGTCATTCTTCCTCCGAGCGAGTTCGCCAGATGAAGTCGAAGGCTTGGTACTCGTGGTCCTGCAGACACTCCGAGCACGAGGATTAGGGCCAGTAAGGAGCGATTGCGAGCCAGGGACGATGGTTAAGGAATGATAGGGTAGGATGCGGTGATAGGGAGGGAATTCGGTCCCCAAGATAATGATCCTGGGCTCTGTGACGACGTGACACGTGTATAAGCTAGAGTAGCTGGGAAGATGGGGGATACCTCCCAAGGCCTGGTCGAGGTCCCACTCGCAAATACTTTGGTTCCCCGTCAAGTAGGGAAATTCCAGAGGTCCCGCCCTGGGTCGTGCAAACAAACAAGAGTGTTCCCAATATTCCCGGAATTCTCGATCCCTTAAGCACTCGCGGTCAGTGATATGAAAAGGAACGTCGAAATTCATGCTCCAAGTCGGGGTGGAAAACCAGCCATTCGGGAAATTGGTCGAGTTTAGGTTTCGCAGACACGCGTGACACTGTAGGCAACGATCGTCTTTGATTGAGCCTACACGTGCGTGTACGGGACCTGTCATTCGACCAGATGGGTGAAAGCCAGCGGTTCACGAGATGGATCGTCCTATAGTGAGATGGTCATCTAATCGTCTAGCATGCTTATCTAATTCATACACAGACAGAATCACACCTAACATCCATGCATCTAACTTGCATAGTACAAACAGGAGGAATCGAGGATCCTTATGCCACAATTTTTTGACCAATCAGCCCAGAGATCACACAAGGCTCGATCACCGATAACCAATCAATCAGATTTGCCGATTCAAAAAGACAGAGAAGGGGAGTCTCGGGAAGACAATCCACACATCAGTCTCCAAAAACAAGGGAAAAAAATCCGAGATGTCGATCCAAAAAGGACAAGCCTAGGACGACTGACGCCGAATACCAAAATTGCTCAGAAGGATGGAAGAGAAACATCACCACAACACATCCCGTCTCTCTCTCTCTCTCTCTTTTTTTTTTTTTTTTTTTTTTTTTTCACAAGTTACCACGTCAGACTTAAGAGAAATTAAGAAAACCGACTCACCCCCCCCCATCAATCCTCTTTACCACACTCCGGCAAGAAATACTACAGCAAAGCCACCACCTCCTTTACTGCTGTGCCCTATTTCTGTCCTACGAGCTAGCCCCTTTACTAGTAGGACGCTTGTTATCCAACCATTTACTTGTCCCCCTCACCTCTTTGAAAGAAAAAACAAGACATGTGCACGGTTCAGGAAAAAACTCAGACACCCCCAGTCCATCCCGTATCCCCACTCCGACAAGTCTTACTGCACTGCAGCAGAGACACCATCTCTGCTGCTGCTGTACCTTATTACTATCCTACCAGCTAGCCCCCTCACTAGTAGGTTGCTTGATATCCAACCTTCTTCACCCACTCACCTAGGCAAAAGTTCATGAAACGTCTCGAACCCCCCCATCCATCCTCTTTACGGCAAGACTTACTGCAGCAAAGCCACCATCTCTGTTGCTGCTATACCGTATTTCCATCCTACCGGCTAACCTCTTCACTGGTAGGACGCTTGATATCCCACCATCTACTTCCAACACCAAACTGAAGGTTTAGGGAACCGGGGCCATTACCCAGCTTTGACGAAGAAAAGTTGGGGCCAGATTAAGACTTTCCCC